TTTGTTTCACAAACTCTTTTCTTTTTATTAATGTGTTCCCCACCACACCCTCAAACCCCCCCACCGCTATTGGCTGGCTGGGGAATTCTGGGAGTTGGAGTCCACACATCTTAAAGTGGCCAAGGTTGAGAAACACTGCTCTATAGTGTACTGGAGTCTGGGAAGAGACCTCAAGGTTGACCACACAAGTGCTACAAAGATGCTGTGAAAGAAATTCTATGTCACCATGACATCCAGCCAAGGGATCTAGAAGCTGTGGCCGCTGATAGAACCCGCTGGCGAGCCCCATGCTATGAACCCTGCACCAGCTTTGAAGACAGATGCCGCCAAAAACTGATCAAAAACCATGAGCGGCGTCACAGAAGAATGCCCACAGTTCCTGCGACAAAGGACTTCCAGTCCCCCCACTGTGCTAGACCAACAGCTTGAAGATGTGTGGACTAAGGTTCACAAGCATGGAGGGCTGTTGATGGGCTTCAAGCAGTGTTTCTCAACCCTGGCTGTTTGAAGATGTGTGGACTTCAACTTCCAGAATCCCTCAGTCAGCATGGCTGGCTGGGGCATTCTGGGAGTTGAAGTCCACACATCTTCAGGGTGCCAAGGTTGAGAAACACTGTGCTAGACTCTGTGCTTCCAGACTGGGACTGCAGAGCCACCTCCGTGTCCACAGATGAACTGCACAACAGCATGTCTTCTTTGAACCCGAAGGACTACCATAACAAAGAAAATGTGTGTGATTGTGCATTAAACTTCTCACTGAGAACAGATAGCTTGCACTTCTAAACTTGCTCATACAGGAGAAGAATAAAGCTTCATCTTACCCTTCCTCCAGAATAATGACCTTGATGTTCTTGAGTCCCATCAGGGGCATCCCCAGGGGGTTAAAAAAGTCAAGATGGTGGCTGTGGCCCCACCATGCACATAAAAAAGAAGCCCCACTTTGATTGTAAGCTTGTGGTCACCATCTTAACTTATTTGACCCCGCCCAAGCCCTATAACATATTCAGGAACCTGTTGTAAAAGATGATAAAGCAAATAATAGGATAAATCTTTAGTCTCAGACTGGCCACTAATATGTGCTAGGTTTATACACCACACCAAAAGCTATGGTTTTGCTTTAATCATGGTTTGCTGAATAAGAGCGAGTGGCTGGGCTCCAATACCAAGCTCAACCACCTAAGAAGATTGGCTTACAAACCACATCTCACTCAGCCCAAAGCAAACAAACCTCCTTTGTTTGTGTGCACGTGTGTTGTGACATCAAGAGGAGATGCCGTTTACATCACAACATTGCGGTGCACGTTCGTCACTTGCTCTGTCACCAATCTCCAGGGTGGATGCCTCTGAAAACTAGCTTTTTTGTGTGTGTGGTGGGGGGTTGATCTCTACCTGCTGAATTTTAATCCTTTGGATAAGGCCTAAACGCAACTGGCAACACAACTCGGGCCCTCACTTCGCTTCGTTTTGTGCCTCCCGAGGAAGCTGCTCCCTCCCCGACCCCCTTGTCATCCCGTGGGAAGGTGTAGGGAGGGCGGTGTATGCAGGTGAGGATGACAGGTGGCCAGGCGATGGGTTCGTCTTTTATCATGAGAAATGTTGTACAGAATAAAAGCAGTGCAAATTTTAAAAAGATAAAGAGAAGTAAAGAAAAGTGATATGTAAATAAGAAATAAATAAAAAGAAACGAAAGACAAAATACAAAGAATTTACTTCCGACCTTCTTTACCGCAGTTATAAATGCATTCAGATTTTATCCTCTCTCTCTAAGGTGACATCGTGGCTCCCTTCTTTCCACACTCTACTCTTTCTGATGGTCAAACCCATAAATTGCAAGTTTATTTTTTTCCGTTTTCAGCAAAAAGGTGGCTCCCTTCTTTCCACACTCTACTCTTTCTGATGGTCAAACCCATAAATTGCAAGTTTATTTTTTTCCGTTTTCAGCAAAAAGTCCATACAGTAAAGGGTTTCCAGTCACTGACAAATGTAGTTATTGTCTTTTCTCTAATTAAGCAAGCCAATTTTGCCATTTATGCAAATTCTGTCATCTTCACCAACCATTCCTCCATTGTAGGTATTTCAGTCTTTCCATCTTTGTGCTTATAGTAATCTTGTGGCGGTTACTATATACGAAAACGATCATCCATAAGCCTTTTCTAGTTGTTTGTCCCAGCAAGAAAAGCTCTGGTGTCAGCTGAATATTGGTCTTTACAATTCTGCGTATTACTGTGTGGCCAGGCAATGAGTTAATTGTGTAAGTGGGTACTTTATTTACAGGCAATTAATTTTAATCAGTAGTTATTAATTCATTTATTTGTTTATGGTCCTGACTGGACCTTTTTGGTGTGTGGCTTTTGGCAGGTGTGTTCATGTGTATACACACACACACACACACACACACACTCACACATGCACACATACATGTATATAGGTAGCCCTCACTTAGTGACCACAACTGGGACTGGCAACACAGTCACTAAGTGACATGGTTGCTAAGTGGAAAATCATGTGACCACAACAGATTTACAAACTCACTTCCCCTTTGGTCATTAAGTGAAGTGACACAGTCGCTAAGCAAAAAAATCATGTGACCACGACTTACAATTTTACTTCTGCCTTCTCCATTAACTCTGCTTGTCACAAGCCAGTTGGGAAACATGAGAATGGTGGTCATGTGACTAAGGGATGTGGCAACCGTCGTAAATGCGAGGATTGGTTGCAAAGGAGTTTTTTAAGTTTTGTTGTAACTTTGAACAATTGTTGCACAAGGCAGTTGGTACACGAGGACTACCTGTACCTACATATATAATATATACACACATACATACATACAAGTGTGATGCATGGACATATTTATTGAGGAGCAGAAAATCTCTAGAATTCATCCAGCTGGAGCTGGCAAGGTGTGGAAGCTTTGTTTGCATTTGATGTAACGCCAGATTTCTCTAAGAGAATGTAGACCTGTCCTCGGGGAAGGCATGAGAGAGCTGTTAAGGAGGGAAGGAAGGAGCAGAGATGTTAAGGGGGCGGGTTGCAAAAAAAGATGTCTTGGTCCCGAGAGACGTGTGAGAAAGGAATTCCAAATAACTACTTTGCAAGCTGCCTTATAACATTATTTAGGTAGCTCTGTCAATTGTCTTCTTCCACAGCTGGAAGGAGGCCCTTTGTACTGTCACCATCAACGGCCTACTGAAAGACTTGAGGGAAACCATCACTTGGACATTGGAACAGCTAAAGAGAAGGCTGCCTCCACAGTGGGCCAGGGATGAGACGGAATCAACATTTCCCCTTAAATATGGCCACCAAGGTCCTTGACTTATCAAACACATATATAAAGTGCTCTGCTTTTTTCAAGAAAAGCTGTTGGAAGGTGGGACAGGGGAAAAGTCAAATGAAAGAATTCAGATGGAATTGGCTCCCTCCACCACATGGGTTTCAGTTATCTATACACACTTTTAGCCTTTCCACGTGAGCTCAATATAAATTGGGCCAAAACATCCATTAGGCCACCCACAATGGCCAACGTGTGGAGGCGCTACTAGGTTGGGGCAGGATTGTTGAAAGAACCAACAGCCGACAAGATCCTTGCATTCAGTCCATTGAGACTTATGTAGAAAACTGGAGAATTGATATCCATACTGGTAATCCAGACCTTGTTTTTATCCCACCCAGCTCACCAACTTCATCCTCAGAACAACGTTGGGAAGGAAATAGGACTGAGGGGATGCTATCTGAGGGACCGCCTGTCTCCCATAACATCTGCCCAGATGATTCAATCCTACAAAGCTGGCATGCTCTGGGTTCCTTCAATTAAACAATGCCATCTGTGGGAATCCCAGAAGGGCACCTTCTCTGTAGCAGTGCCTGCCCTCTGGAACGAGGCTCCCCCCCCCAAGATCCAGATGCCCCCCCAGTGGTGTTTCAAAGGGGCTTGAAGACCTGGCTCTTCACCCAGGCCTTTGGTGAGGGAGAGCGAGACCCCTCACTTCATCACCATCTTTTATCTTTATCTTTTATGTTTTATGGATTTGATTGTGATTTCTTTGATTGTTGTGAGCCGCCCAGAGTCATTGAGAATCGGGCAGCATATACATTTAGTAAACTATGGTTGGTCGCAGTCAGCCAGATGTTCAGACTGGATTTGACATTTCTATCCACCTAGCGAGTCCTTCCCAAGGACCTGGGATAGGCAGACGTTGTTGTCTGAAGTTTCCCCAGTGAGCTTCATGGCTGAATGAGGATTTAAAGCCCAGGTCAACTAATCAGATAGGCCTGGGTTTATCCAATTCACTGAGCTCTCAGAAATTTTCTGTATCTCTTGAACCCACCACTGTTAGTCCTAGTTGGCTTGGCTTAACATGCTGGGTGAAAAGCAGCCATTGGGGTTTCTGTGGCTTATTCAACAACCCAGGGCTAAAAGTAGACCTGGTTTAGTATGAACAGAC